TTTTGATTTCACTGTTGTATTATTTTACCTAATGTCTTGATATAGTTGTATTTAGAGTACTTAAATTATTGTCTGATATTTATAGACTAAATTTTGGAGGTATAGAAATTTTAATTGACAGTAAATAAACTGATCATTAGTTGCAGCAGGAGCAGCTGTCGACTTCTTTACACTGCACATTGTCACTACATTGTATGTATCATTAGGTGGCAAATGACACCACGCAGCAGGATTTTTTTCTCTGTTGCATAGCAGTGAATCCACAGAAATAGACCTGCTGCTGAGTCCAGCCCTGCAAAGCCGAGGATGGTGTGAAAATGAAGACGAGCATGTTCATTCTCCATGCTCCGCTACACAGAGGCACAAGAGCTACCTTTCCTCGCCTCCTCCTGTTGTTTCACCGTTTCACTTTCTCTCCTTCTTCTTACTTCATCTGCTCCCATCTTTCATAGTGGTTTTCCTGTAACCCACTGAATGTGGATACAAACTGGGGGGATTGAAACCATAGTTGCTGGACCTCTGGGTGTGAGCTTAGGAAAAATAAAGTGGACAGCAGTAGATTTGTTTCTCTCTACCAGTCTTGAATACTTTATTATCCTGCTGCTGCCCTTAAGAGTGAGTGAGAGAGAGAATGATAGAGAGAAGAGTAGACACTGATGTGCATGACAGGAAGTTTAAAGTGTGGGTGGATTGGTATCCTGGTGGTGAAAGCATATTAGTGGCCATTTCCCCAGAATACATGTCATATTCACTCAGCCCAGTATTATCTTCTGTGCAAAATAAGTAATTTACAGCAAATAACACTGCCAAGATCCCAGCTGAAATGAAAACAAAAAATGTTAATATACAGTTCTCAATGTATATGCTCGTGTGTGTGTGGTCTGCATGTGCGTATTACAGGTTCCTGTCATTGTGGTAAGTGTATCTGCAATCCCCAAGACTGGTGGGTGTCCGGAGAGTACTGTGAGTGTGACGACCGAGAGTGTGATAAGCACGACGGGATCATCTGCACAGGTAATGAAATGCAAAAAAGGAGACAATCAATCAAATACAGTTCATACAATCAGAATAAGTAAAAATGGTAAATGCTAGAAGATAATGGGTAATATAAAAGTCAAAGTCACAGCTGAGCATTTCCACCTTTGGACTGAAGTGCCCCAGAGTTTGCCAGATATTTTTTTTCCATGAGGTTTATGTTTTTATTACATTAGTATTTCTAACACTGAAAAGAGAGATTAGCACGCTACATTGTTGGGGTTACTGTATAATTTGCTCTTCTTCAACACCAATTTATGTTTTAAATGTGTGTGACTGAATTAATTTCAATGTGCAACTTGCCTCTATCTAATGGAGAGTAGTTTATGATGTTTGAATAGAGTCGAAGGTGGGCAGGTGTGCTCAAAATGCAGAGATGCTGGGAGAAGCAGGGGCTAATTTACATTTTCAAAGGTTGGCCCTTACTAAAGATGAAAAAGGTGTCGAGTTAAATCAAAGCCATTTTAATGGCCTTGCTTCTAAACATTTGTTTTTGAAAAGGGGTTTTAGGGGTTTTTCTAAAAGAAAATACTAGAGCGGAATTTTATTGAAGAGCGACACCTTAGCAGAAAGAGGGAGCCGCGTGTTAAAATCAAATTACTTTCATGAGTAACAATCCCAGTGAACCAGAGATGGGGTGTGGGCTTGTTTGACAGCTGTTTTTATAGAAACAGTAAAACTGATCATAAAACAACTATCATAGCAGTTAAAACTGTTAGCTTATATTAAATCTAAACACTTAAAATAGCTAGTTAAGCAGTGATTAGCTGTTAAATGCACTACATGTAACGGATGAATAGTTAAAACAGCTAATCATAACTGACAAAACCATGACTAACATAACTAAATTATGTTGGAAGTTTGTAAGATTTGCGTAACTGAAATCCATAATGAGCGCTTTTAAACATTTTGTACACTGTTTATTGTTGTTGTTGTTGTTTTTGTATTACTCATTTTGTATTAATGTTAATGGTTGTGGTTGTGTGCCTGACAACCATAAACAACTGCATACCTATATGCCATATGGCTGTTTATCCACAGGAGCTTTATTCTCATCACTGACTGTGGAAAGTTTAGTACACATCTAATTATTTTTGCCCTGGGGGCCTGTCAGAATCTGAATAGCTTCACAAGTGCTTCTCATTGTGACTTTAAGAGTCCAAATGTCAGCCTTAATGTCATTCAAATGAGCATCAGTGTTTCCAAATGCAGATCGGCATTGCTTAAACACAGGGAGCAAACTAAGAAAATGCATTGGAGCATCTGGCAAATGTGCCTGACTACCATTACTGACTGCAGTATAAATGTGAAAATAACCATATCCTTGGAAGTTATTTTATTGGAATAGTGTTTTACATGGAAAGGCAATTCCAGAAAGGGATTTAATATTTGGATAAAAGAGTTGCTGTGGGTTTTTTTTTTTTTCAGATAGCAGTGATTGAGTCATTTCTTGCCATTTTGTAAAGATTAAAAATGTTTGACAAAAGTTAGCCAATAAATTACTTTGCATCCAGAGATTTCATGGATCCTTCAGTGCTGTGGATTCTCATTACACATACAACTGATGAGTGATGTGGAAAATTTAGCATATTAGGAATGCTTGCTGGCTAATTTCATGCACTGCATATGATAATTTCAGCAATCGTATTAGAAGAGTTAGCAGGGTTGCCTGCTACACAGGTAAATATGTGAAGCAAAAAATAAATAAATAAATAAATGACAACATTTTCTCACCATCTAAAATTCTTTCAATTTGTGCTTTGTCAGTGGGATGAAAATAAAATGAAGAAGAGGTTTGAGTTTACTGTATTCATGAGCGCTGTTTAATCATGTGAAATGTTTGTGAGTCGGGAAAAAATTGGTTTAAGTAAATTCCGAATAAACTAAGAACTGTGGATGTTTTTGTTGAGGAGAGCATGAACCAATAATACATCTTAATCTGGCACTTATATGTATACATAGAGAGATGTTGTTCAATATTCTAAAACTCCTATAAAACATCCAGATCAATAGTAAATCATGGAAATTTCACCTGCGCAGCAATAAATCCTTCAGGAGACAGATACAAAGTACAAAATATAGATGTGTTTATTTTAGCTACATCTTGAAATTCAGGAAGAGGTGAGCACATGTGATCATCCACGTCTGAAGTTCAGAAAGTTTTTTTTCTTTTTATACTGACTTTTTTTGTGCTTACTCTTCTTTCACATATTGGAACAGCGAGATTCTTGACTATCTTCAAATTAGATGAAAAGGAGCCTGAAAGTCTGGCTGCTTCTTGAGGCTTCCAGCCACCTAAATAGACCTCGCCTATGCAGAGACCTCGAGGTCAAAGCAGAGGCTCCACTGACCATGACTTTCAGACCTTGCCATCATAGTAAAACCTCACAGGACTGTAAGACCAACTCTAAAAAAATAACCATTTACAGATTGTACTAAGAAAATACTCTGTAAATACTGTACTGTAAATACTCGCCCAAAAAGTTATAAATCTATAAATGGAAGTGGTCAGCCAACAAATGCAGTATTTAATCCTTTTAACTA